CAAAACAAAACAAAAAAACACTGAGGTGTTTTGGTCACACTGAGCTTGTTCAAACACCATCTCAAAGGTGGTTTGCAATGTAGCTCAAGGAGTTTCTGAGCTTCTGTTAGGGCCTTGATTCCTTTCCCTCTGCCTTTAATCCCAGCACTCTGGAGACAGAGGCAGATGGAATTCTGTGATTTCAAGACCAGCCTTGTTCAGTAGAGCTAGTTCCAAGACAGCCTCAAAAGCCAGAGAGAAGATCTGTTTCAAACACCCCCCAAAAAAACAACCCTGAGACTTGTGGCCTAAACTGGAGTTCTTACAACCAAGGTGAACTTGAACCTACTGAAACCGTCTCAAAAGCTCCCAGGAGAAAAATCCACTTTCAAAATGTAAGCATTGTAGCTTAGGTCTCACCCCTACCGGGCTCCGTTTTAGGTCCAAGGAAAATATATGAACAATGTTCCCATCACACCTAACTTGCCCAGTGTTTTTAGCAGAGTGCAGCACTCCTCACACTCCCAAGCCTGAGCTCAGCACCTGTTAACAAATGCTTCCAATGGGCTCAACTGGGATGATTGCCCGACACAGGGAGGCAGAAAATGGAAGCACTTTCCAGTTCTGCCTCAGAGAGGGCAACCACTTTGATGACCACAATGTGGGTTGTCCCCTCGACTCTGGGGCACCTCGATGCCCCAGGTCCTCTCCAATACCACTTCAGTTCCTGGCTACTGTGCAAGCAATGTCCCGAGTCCTTCCTTCCCACTCAACATTTCTCCCCCATGGCCGTGGAATCCAGGTCCCAGGATACTGCAGTTAACCCAGACACGACCTACCAAGGGACCCATTGTATCTCAACTCCAAAGAGTGCCCCACAGTATTTGAATGCTAGATGAGTAACTAAGAACTGGTGAAACTGCTCTTTTGTCAAACAGCAGCACTCAAAACCTAGCTGGACTTTATTCCAGAGCAAAAAGTGCCCCAAAGTTTGAGTACCACCGGCTGACATGGTCCAGAGAAATGCACAAACCGGAAAAATATTTACCCACCAGAAAACTGAAACATTGTAACCGTTCAATTCAATGTGTCAAAAACCTAAATGATATGTAAATTCAGGGTGGTTAGTATCCGGTCCCCAAATTGACACAAGTCCAGTGATAATTTGGCTTCTCCAGAAATGCAATACAATTGCCTGGGACCCTCGGAAACTCCCGGAATCATCATTCAAAATCCCCACAAACACTTCTAAAATTCCTACATGCTGAAACTATACACAATCAGCCTGCCTCCTGTGAGGCGAGACTAAACCCGGCTGACTTGAGGCCTCCATGCCGAATCCTCTTTGTTCATTTAAAATTCTAGTTTTTAAAAGTTCCAACGCAAGCTAGTCACTGCTGTTAAAATTCCTACATGCTGAAACTATACACAATCAGCCTGCCTCCTGTGAGTGGGACTAAACCCGGCTGACTTGAGGCCTCCAAGGCAGGCGGACCTGTGCGTTCGAGAACAGCATAGTCTACAGAGCGCGTCCAGGACACACTCCAAACTACATAGATTACCAAAAGTTCTGAAAGTAGGCATTGGTCGTATGAGGAAGGCAGATGTGTGTTACTCAGCCTGACCCACGTCGTAAGCTGGCTAAATTAAACCTATCTCATCCAACATCCATATCAAGCCTACACCTGTCTCTCAAAGCTAAGATCCTCCATTTCAAATCCCAGAACAGAAAAAAAAAAATAAATACCTTTCTGACAGAGAGAAAGCCGGACTGGAAAGGTGGAGCAGAACATCCTCACAAGCATCTCTGGGAAGGGGAGAGGCTCTAGTATTTACATAGTCTGAGGGCTCATTGGTCCCCTGGAGGGGAGGCTCTGGATTCCCTC